GCAGGCTACACAGATTACGGATCTTGAACATGTTTTAAATATATTGTCTTAAGTACATCATTTTACTGTTATCATGTTCTACATACTAGGGTGTTGGATCAACACTCATTTTTTTGGTGAGAATGTAATTTCGAAATTCGGCTCGAGTCGAGATCAACATTCCATTTTGATGACCCTATTGCCAGAGACCGTAACTACCTACAGGTCCAAACAGTGTTTTGGTTCAGTTTTGACTTTTTAAATTTTGCCTCGACACCCTAGCGTTGTTTATCAATAATGCTTATTTATGATATCCAAAAAGGATGGAAAATATTGCAAAAATTTGGTTTCGAATAGCCATGCCAATAACAACAACAATAGCAATATCCATAACAATAGGTGGACATGAAGGTAGAGCAAGGGTCTATGTCAAGATCCATCTGGAGAGTGTACCTCCGATAAACAATAAGAATTGAATGAATATTATAATACATATTAGCATATATTGAAATAATTATAGTCATTGATCTCAGAACACAACCTGTGTTTTGCTTGGTTAACTCGATCTTTAAGATAGCCAATCGAGAATGTCATTCAATTGTCAAATACCATCTACCATCTTCACTTGAGTAAATAATGTCTTCATTATATCCACTCGCCATTTCTTCTCACCAACAGGACACAAAATATTCCTTAAAATATCACGTTGTCTCGTGCCCATATTAATGGGTCACACACGGGATATTTTTACACTAATATGTTTTTTTTTCCAATAAACTATAATAAATATTTGAAGGGATGCAATATGATTGAAAAAATCCGCGTTCTTACTGCGACCTGAATAACGATGGTTCCGTTAAAAAATATAGATATGGAACTTCATCCCAATTATCACATTTTGTACCCCCCATTAACATTTAATGTCCCATAAGAAATGAAATGAAATGGGGTTTAACGTCTTACTGTACTGCTCCAGCTGGACTAATGCAGATGGGCACACATCACACAGTGTACTATGAGGGAAATTTTGCCCGTACGGCGGCACTACGACTTACTCTTATTTCGAATTCCATTTGCCAAGGGTTCTCTTACGTGCATACCAACGTGTACACGGGACCTCTGGCTTTTCGTGACAACCGAAAAACTATACATTGCCTCTTGCTAGGCCCTCATTCTTGTACCACTAACAGGGGGTGGGGGCACCCCGGAAAAGTCCGATGAACATTCTCTGCCAACACCGGAATCGAACATGGGATCTCCAGGTTAGCGAGCCAACGCCTTATTCACTAATCCACCGTAGCCCCCCTCTGTCATAAAAAATGTCAAACGATTCCGTTCATTTTCTATAATGTGTTTAGACTTTCACAGATCAGTCTTTCTCGAAAAAATATACTTTCCTAATCTTACCAGAACAACGCAAATACCGTGTTTGCTAAAACATATTATGTCTTTCATGTGGTTTAAAGAGAAATTAATTATCTTTTTTCGCCACGAAAATAAATGTTGTTATATTATAATCAAAATATATAGACTCATTCAAAATCCAAACACTGACCAATTTTGTATGTGGTATTTTCACGGGCATTCATTAAACTATTTAGAAAAAAAAAACAACACTTAAACTAAGACAATTCGAAAACTGAAAGGTAAAACGTCTACATCAACCATGTCTGGGTAGTTTTCTCAAAAGAACGTCGTATAATTCAATTTGAACATAATCCATGTAACACAGTTATGGCGGATCACTTGAAGTCTAAAATTATTATTTTATCATCCTGCAAAAGCCACCTTAAGTTTTATCATTATTGGGCTGTGTTTGTTAATATGTTGTTTATAAAGGTAAACGTTCTTTTTTCCAGAACAATCTGTTTAGAAATTAAAAATATATCATTTAAGGGTTGGGAACATGGCGTTTGTTTTGTAGACTTTTAGTCTCATGTATATATTTTTCCGCAAATCGACATTCTCCTCGACGCCATTTTCTAGAACAACTTCGAAAACCAATAACCGATCTTTAAGTCAACATCAAGTCTGGCACGAGTTGACGAAGACACGACAATTCTTGCGATATTTAGTTTTAGCAGATGTCCCTCTCTTCAAACAGGAAATCAAACGCTTCGAACTCATCAAATTAAAGCAACATAATTCATCTTTTTAGACTGAAGAGGGATGACAAAGGGCGGTAAATCATGATATAAAAGTTTGTCTAGTAAACAAGGTGTTTGTTCACTACATGGTTGAATATGTTGAACATTGATTAAAAGACCAAGTGATGGAGTCATACAACCCTCCTGTTAATATACAAACACTAACATCCCCCCTTGTTTCATTCTATACAACTCAATCAAAAGTAGTAAGCACTGGATGTACCCGACTATGATATTTAGGACTACAGTCGGTAACAGCAAGTAAAGAAAATATCCTATGGATGGTATAAGTAAAACTGAACAATATTGCAATTGGAAAACAAACCCTATTTAAAAAGTGGCACCAACTCTTCCGAGAAAGAAAGCATACACTGGCCCGTAGGTTAAAACACAGGAATTTGTCGCCCTGGAAAGAATGGGGTAATAGAAGTTTCATATTATATAGATAATGGTGGTTTCTTCATGAAGTCCGCATATGCGTACATGATGCAAAACGAGGCATAATTTATTGATACACCTTTACTTGTCTTTATTATCATCGTGTACGTGTACAAACATTTCTGACATGACACAAATATTCCTTTAGTTTCATAAACCCATGTGGGTTAATTATATATTTACACGGGAAAAGCCATAACGTATATTAAGTAGAATGCCCGCAAGGGCAATACCAAACATCCAAAGAGGTAAAATGTCACCGCTTCGCCATTCTCTATACCAAGTCTGTTAAACTGCCATGATGTTAAAACACAACAATTCTATCCCACTCTTCCAGTTAACAGAGCTAGTTCAATAGAATCCAGATACTCATATTTTCAAATCCAAGATGTAATGTAGACATAGTTTCAACCGAAGCTTTCACTTCATTTTTAAGGTCTTATGAGTTCGTCGATTTGACAATCATTTATTAGAAACAAACGTGTCATAAATACTGGAAATTCTTTCTTTTTTTCTCTTGTCACTCGGTGGTGATATTTTCAGTACCCCGGAGACATTGTACATAACTGTCTATATTGGCCTACCGAGCTTTGTCAAGATTTGTATGCTGAAGATTTCAGACACTTTACACCACTATATTTTGCCAGTTTTTTTTAAGCAAATAATCCCTTTTCTCCACGATTTTCTTCTTTTATTATTCCGTTATCATAACTATTTCAGGGGAGCTAATATTATTTTTTGTGAAGAAAGGCGTTTCTGTTATTGTGGGATTAAGTTTGTGTTGAGTATTTATTCCAATGTATTGGCATTGTGGTAGTAATTTGCTTCAGGCTAATTACACACATCGCAGTAAGGCATAGTTGCCTGTCAAAAAATGCAAATGTTGTATTTGAGTTAATGCCAAAAAATATTGGCTTAGAATGTTAAAACATTTAAATTATTTTAATCAGAAATGCTTTGCGATTGAATTCTGCACACCTACGACATTATTGTTAAGCATATAATTAATATTCTTTTTTTTTGTTGAAAATATGACACAAGTTATGTTATCTTTAACAGCCATTTAGTTAATAATTATGTTGTATATTTCTTAATCTGTAAAAAGAACAGCCACCCAGTCCACAATCCACTATTTAAAGGGTTTGTTAGAATGTTTTTTTTTTGATGCAAAAGTCATTTGACCATTTTCAGCTATATTAAACTGAATGTCAAACACCCATTTTTGGTGTACTTCTTTGAAGTGTGAAATTCTTTACATTGTGCGATCGATAGTCGCTATAGAGAAATCACTTTGTTTCTTTTTTTTTCAAATATTTTGCACGAGGACAATAAATATTAGAATGTACTAATAATATCACGAGTTAGCATGTCTACTAAATATGAAAGTGTAAAGTGTATTAGCATGAATTACAGGCAAATTTGCCTGTTTTGAACAATGTTATGCTTTTATATACGAAGTACATTTAGACGCACTGCAAATAAGCATCGCTCAAGTGAAGAGCCTTGTCGAACGGCTGCAAAGAAAATTCAGCAAATCTAGATCTAAGATTTCATTGAATTTTTTCTGAGCCAATATGTATCCTAAAGCAACCATTTTGAGCATCTGTTAAGCTGATAAAACCAGGAGATAAGAGTTATCTGAACAAATTCGGCAAAGGCTGAGAAACACAAATATATATTTTTTATGCATGGGGGAGTATGTTTGTATTTTGGGAAAATACATGTCTGTGCTTTTTTATACGACTGTAAACAAGATAAGCCTGTCATTTTATGTAGCGTCCAGTAAATGATGAAAACTTCACACAAATAAATGAATACAATGAACATTTGTTTTTTAGACATTCTCACGTTATTGTATCAACACGTTTCATACACCCGAGTTTATTTTGAATTGTTACTAAATGTAATTAACATCCCCGGACAAATATTGTATTACTTTACTTTGCTGATGGCACAAATGTTTTCGTTTTTCTGCAAGAACCTCAAAGTTGGGGACGATTCAATATTTATTTTATACTTATTTACGTGTTTTCGTTGTTATTTTAACAACTTTAATTTAATGTATCTTAAACTGAAAAAAAAAAAATTCTTTGCAAAAAGATATAGATTGAAGATATAGATTTCACTTCACCTACATATTGTCAGCATGAAACTTTAAGCGCTTATCTTCTGCATGATAATGATGTAAATTGAGGTCTGTTTTTTTTGTCCAATGATTTCTACATTTTTCCGGTGCCAAAAAAGATATCGGTTTATATGTTACCTAAATCTTATTTGCATAACATTTCAAGTTATATTCCCTAGTTCGACAACTCCTATGTTTTCTAAAACCATTTTTATTTTCATTCACAGATGATAAAGCGAAGTAAAAGTTATGTATTTGGAAATTCAATATTTTCCATGATTTCTAACTGTCTTTTTTACTCATATTTACAGATGATCTTTTAAATTGTTTCGTGTGTAGCGCATTATACAAAGGTTTTCGAGAAATTGATCACACAACTGGTGCTTCATTTGAATGGTGAGAATTTATAGTATTTTAGTGTATATGTAGTTATATATTACTGACATGCCTTTATGTTCAATGACGATTGAAATGTTGGCATATGCAAATAAACACTCTGAAACCAGCAATATACTAAATTTTAACCTTATTTCCAAGAAAGATTTATCCATGCTAAACTACAATATTGCTATATTACCCAAATTAATTATAGTCATGTTTTTTTTCTTTGAGTATGCGTAAGCCCACGTCTTGCAGAAACCACGTTCTTCATATCAAACGTCTCTTGTGATTATAATAGTTGGCCTACAATTCTGAAATACAATTACTGATTCAAACCCATGATAAAACCAGGGTCGATTTAAGACCTGATCTTCAACATTTTGTTTGGTCTACTCAATGCTCTCATTTAATGTTATGCGTTCTCTATGATTATGATATACTTATTATAATGACAATAACATGGCTGTTATACCAGTCATAGATACACGTACAATGTAGACTATTATTATCGAGTATAAGGTATGTTTTATATGAAAGAACAAGATATAATCTGGTAATTTTGTGATTTAACAACACGATTTGTACGTAAGAATCTGCATGTAGGTAAATGTATATCAACGCTCAAACTATTTTAGAACAAATTAGGCCAGGTTGTGCGGGTATTCGAAACTTTATTCGGTAATAACGTTTCAGGAATAACAAAATGAAATTTTGGAATTGGAACTAGTATCTTGACATGATTATTGTGGTTCAAAATCCTACTTGAATGTTATTTTATAATCTACGTAACCCATTAGTGTAAAGGGATTTACAACCTGAAACCTTCATTATAAAGTGTAATGTACAGCGAGACCCCATAAATTGTGAAATTGCATGCACATTTCCATCCATATTTTTCGTGCAATTCGATATTGCAAGGATATATTCATGTTCCTGAAGCAACGATTGCGAGTTTTACAACATCTAGTCGTTGCTAGATTAGTCTGAAATTCCCAAACTTTTAGGTAAATTATCTCCCTTTATCGATGATATTTTCTATCCATGAATTTGAGAGACCCTGAGCTGGGCCCACGGATCCATGACCTATCGAAATTAGTGTAGAGTATAAGATGGACGTAGTTAGACCGAGCATTCTATTCAAGATGGGATATATTAGGCTACAGTGCCTCCTGTTTCCCATCCATTAAATATAACATAACACAATTACCTGTCAATTGTATGAAAAATTATTGCATACTCGATAATTTACCACTCCCAGCCGAACAAATAGGCCTACCTTCAACATAGATATGTTTCATTTAAACCAAAGAATTATATATATATATATATATATATATATATATATATATATATATATATATATATGCTTTTATTCGGACTCCTATTTTTAAAGCAAATCTTACAAAACTCATTTACGTTTCTATAATTATCCATACAAGAGCTGGAAAGTCTGAAATTATGTTAGATAATGAAATACATTTCATTCAAGCCTATTTCATTTTATCTACAATACTGTATGTTTTATATTCTTTGAAGCCATAATTATTATGAATAATGTTACTCCACATTTTTGACATGTCAATTATTGCAAAAAACATAAACACAACCTTTCATATTTTAAGTGAAATTATGTGTAGAAATATGTATGTGATTTGTTTTTATTGGTATTTTATGTTTTTGCTTTCCTATGGTTTGAATGAACGAATTTATAATATGAATAAGTGGAGTTATTAAAGTACTATGCTTGGTTAATCAATATGAAATATATTTCTCTTTTTATAATATTGTCCTGGTGTAGAAAATGGGATATAGCTGATTTCTTCTGAGAGTAGACGTTGTATCGTCTAAATTCTCCCTTCTTTCAAAACACACGTGAACAGTTTCAAAATGACGAAACGGTATTGTTTATTGATCTTAGTGGTCTGTTTTGAATATAATCAAGAGGAATTGTTTTGAGTATAGTGTCTCAAGAAAGTCAATGAAACCCCATATTATGCCCCGGGGGCAAAATTATACTTTTTCTTTCTCAAATCGGGATTAAACACTCCTTAACACCCGAGACCGTTGAAAAGGTGCAAGGTTACCAAAACCATCTTTCTATGCAATGTTTACCCCACTATTATTTTCAATAAGACTTCATAGTGGAGTCTATTCGTCCCTTTATGTATAAATAGATTCTTTTATAATAGGCGAGTTTTTGTGTGAGAGAAATAGGTCGTACTACATCATATAATAGATACTGATTTTATAAACGACGTGAATATAAGAGTTGAAGGGTAGGTAAACGTATAAACATTAACTTGTGTTATTATGTTGGATGAAATAGTCGTGAAAGTTATATCTATGAGAACAGTGCGGCTTTAGGATTTACTTTAAACAATGGTATAAACGGACCTGTCAGTTACATAGGTAAATATATTCCGTTATGTTAGATTTAATTAGTGAAAGTTTTAAAGGATATATATTAGAATATTGTTGGTGTGTTGTTATATAGGTTTGGAAGGAATAGAGTTAAAGTAGAGGACACACTTTTATCCTGAACGATGGTGTAATTATACGGCCAACTGAAATACATTTAATTAGTATCCTATATTAAAACAGCTTTATAAGTTGAAGGTTATGCTGGCATTGTTGCGTTTTATATTTATCGTAAACGATAAAGCAAACATATTAAATAGATATGGTATAGATAAATATCTTCAACACTCAGTTTTGAAACTTAGAATGAAAACTTTGGAATATGTTATTATGTATTTAAATTTACTGTTAGACTTTTAGGATATTATGTAATGGAGCTGTTGTCTAATTGATTATTAAATATTTTGTGAGTTAATTTAGCCGCCTAAGATTATCACTATTCATGGTTATAGTTATTAGAATCACAAAAGTTGCGTGTGCCTAGAATGGGGTGCTTAAACAATGCTGGTTCATCAATGTATTAAGCCTAGTAGTTCTTGAAAGCACGTCGATTTGGTTCTTCACTTTGACTTGTGATCATATTGCATGTTCTCATACTTAATCTTTTGAGTCTGTATGTTGGTTCATTTTCATACATTAAGTAATATAGGCACTCACGTAATAACGGACACTGACTTGAGACCTAATAATGGCTTACTATGAGGACCAATCTTAACACATCCAGGTACTCTATATTTACAAATCTTTACAATTTTATTATCTGTATCAAAATATATTGATTTCACCTATCATTTTTATTTGTCCAGTAACATCAAACTGATTTTCGATTATTCGACGAATATTGTTTCGGTTTAATTTGGATGAACCGGATTCACGGATTAAATAACATGGTATTTGTTTTTCAATAAAAGGTGAATATTTGAAGTGCAAGAAAAATGACGACTGTGCTTGATGATGTTGTAAACATCAGGATCTAGAATATTTTATTTTCCCAATCAGTGGCCCTATATTATACTGATTTATATTTTTTGTAACAAAATTGGTATACTTGGTTCAATGTTGTATCAGAAGATAATGTGGTGATTTATCTTTGTCCATTGAACACAAATCGAACTTCATGTTTATTAAAGGTCATCTTAATATGAAACTGTATTCCAATCTTTTGTTTGAAAATATTTTTTTCTGTGAGAAAGTTAAGTTAGTGAGGGGCGGGGCGGGGCGGGGTGGGGTGGGGGCTGCTAATATGCAAAACGGGTAAGCGTGTTGTTTAGATGTTTATGTACACGTGGTTGTCATTGTCAACGGGGATTTATAATTATAAAGCCACACCCTTGATTTATTAATTCGCCGGTTAAAATTTCAAAGTAGGCTTAAAAGGTTTAATTTTGAAAAAAAAAAAAAAATCCTCTTTCCATAATGATATTTGAAGCCTATTATCTGCCTTTTTAAAAAAACACTGTTGTAAAATGATAGATTCAAATTCTACTAAACCCGGCTGAATTTATATCTACAGATAAGTGCCAAGATGCATCATTTACAACTAAAACTCCGCATCGAAAAAAACAAACAGCACATGACTACAACACAAACTATGCGAATTTGAAAAAAGGTTTGAATCGGTACCTACTTTGGCTCGGTACCCGATATAGCTTGATATCAGGTTTGACACCCTTGACCTTTTTGCAATGATAGACAAACATTAAACTTAGCAGACCAAATGGTAAAAGTAATAAGTAAAAATGAAAACAAAACGAAATGAAATGAAATGAAATAGAGTTTAACATCCTACTGTTCTGCTCCTATACTGGGCTAATTAAGACGTGCATACGCAATACAGTGTGCTATGAGGGAAATTTTGCCCGGGCAGCGGCACTATCGCCTACTCTTATATCGAATTCCAACTGCCAAGGGATCTTTTACGTGCATTCCAATGTATACGCGGGACCTCTGTTTTTCGTGTCATCCGAAGGACTAGACAGCTGTCCTTGTCAGGCCCTCCGTTCTGCTCCACTGAAAAGGGGAAAACACGTCGGAAAATCCCGATGAACTTTCTCGGCCAATGCAGGGATCGAAAAACAAAACGAAATACAACATCAAGTCAAAGATGTATACTAATGAATAATACTTGGCTCATGTTAAAAAGCTTTCTTGTGTTTTATAAAATAGTTAACAAGTTGTCATTGTTATCAAATGTGTTTCGTATCAAAACAGAAAGCCCCGGCCCCTTCCCCGCTAAATACTCCCCTGGTCTACGAACTAGTTTTGAGATTTGTTTTTTGTAATATGACCAAGCATATCCTGCCTCGCCAATGATACACAGTGTATAATATTCTAATCATTATTATTTTTTTTATAGGTAAGATGTAATTTTCTAATATTTATATTTCCAGATGATAAATAAAAACATGGGGAATAGATTAATTTGTTTATTGGTGATGGTTGCCATGGGATCTTGTGTTGATCTTACTAAAGCTGGTAGGTTAGCCCCTTATGTTTCTATTCCATTCCCATGTTTTGGCCCCATCCTTAATAGAAGGAAGGGACTATTAAAATGAGTTCGTTATTTGAACAGAACACCCCTATTAATCGTTCGGATAACGATAGTGGATTAATATTTCGGTCATTTTAGACTAACATACGGTCAATTGTGCAATACCAGGGATTTTAAATTTTGCCCGGAAAGTGGGGTTTCCATAACTTTTTATCGAATTCCAGTTCTTTTTCGTGCACGTCTATTGGTACACGGGGATACATCGACTTTTCATTCCGCTCCAACGAGTAGACAACACTTTACTTATCACATTATTCCCACAAATAGGCTTATAATAAATAAACATTTTTGCTGTCCATTCATTTATGACATATTTTTTTTCGAAATTTCAGATTTGTGCGACGTTAATGGTAGTTACGAGGTCTTTATTCGTGGTATCAGGGAAGATACACAAATAGGTAATGTCGAATATTGTTTTTTTGTTTCTATAAACACCTTGTATTTATGATAAATATAATAATTCGAAGAAATTCAGTATGCCCCTTTGTAATATTCCTTAAGATCGTTCTAAACATTGTCCAAATTGGTTGAGCAGATTTCCACTAATTCGTTTCGTAACAGTTTTGTGGTTTTGCTTGTGGCTCTTTGTGGACATTTGTTTCCCTTTTGGCTAAGGCAACTATCAAATGCTAAAGACTGGATGATTGCAAATTAATGCTATTTAAAGCTATTTAAAGGAAGACTGCATTTACAGAGAAGCTAAAATTTATTAAGACAATCGAAACAAAGCACAGACATTGTAAGCCACAAAAGAATGGATGAATAGGCCAAGGTTCGTCTGTAATTGTCGACTTCGTTGCACAGTCGACGGTCTGCAACACTTTAACCCAAACTATATAAGTTACATGTAACACAAGCAACACGTGAGAAATAGCAATGTCCTTTGGTAATTGTAAGTGAGATTCATTCCAAGTAGCCAATATATATAGAGAATCTCCTACCAGTCTTTTTTGATATCAAAAAATATCAACACAAGTTGATAAAGTAACAAAAAACGAGGCTCTGCCGAGTTTTTTTTTACTTTATCAACGAGTTTTGATATTTTTTGATATCAAAAAAGACGAGTAGGAGATTTTATTTATCACCCAATCCCTTCTTACATGCACAAATAGATAAATATAATTCTTTGCTGTAGATTTCACTTTTACTGAACATTACGGCGTAGTAATACATCATTTTTTGACAGCAATTCAACCATTGCAAGGTCCTTTATATTGACCCAGTGTTTCCATCAAGGTCAATTGAATAACAATAGTTCATTTTTAATAAAAAAAAAAGTTACTTTTAATAATAAATGAACTGTTCTTTGAAAATAAAAAAAGTAGTTCCTTTTCAACTGACCAATCAAATTCATGTATAGCGATATCTCCTAAGTAGATTATAAAATATATCACACAAGCGATATCTACTGTAGAATGTATTATTGGGTGATAAAATCACTATTTTTACATGCTGTTTCTAATATTCAGGTGAAGTTATTTATACCATAAATTTCGCTGGTACGCCAAACGAAATTATTCTACAGCAAGCAGCAAACAGTTTCTTTGATTTCGACCCTCAGACGAGGAATGTGACTATAAAAGCTGGATTAGACAGGGAAACACAGGGAGAAAAATTAACATTTAAAGTGTCATGTAAAGTGAATACAACTAATGCTCCAACAGTGAGTAACCCTTCTTTTATAGTTTCTGTCAAGGTGATCAAAACACGCTATTATATAACAATGAACACCCAGTATTTCAGAAATTAAAGTCCAGTCACCAATTTGTCGTGATTTACGTCTGCTAGCCTTTATCGATATTGGTGATGGAAGGGGCACAACTCCAGTCGATGGGTTCCCGAACCTTCTTGAGTTACGAACTTATTTCTCTATTGACAACAATCTTGGCCTTTAACTTTTGATCATGTCATGCAGTTTAGCCTTTAAATCAGCAAAGAAATAAATATAAATGCTGTTTATCAACCTACTGTTCTTCGCCAACTCGGCTAATGAAGAAAGAAACCAGCAAAGATCCCAGCGTGTCACAGTTATCTGATTAAAATCTGGAAGGGGTTGACCGTTTCGATTTTTTTACTTCACTGGGTATAATGAGCCTAGAGACTAAGTGTTATTTGTCTCAGGAATTTTCTAGAATGGACCTTTTATTGCAACCTGACCTTTCCGCCTCAAAAATCAATGACATTAGTGGACCTACTCCAACCGCGGAATCGCTTGTGGGACGGGTGAAGAATTTAACATACATAAATTTGACCACAGTTTCGTGTCCATGCATGGGGATTTATTATAGGAAACATCTCAAATTCTAAGCTTGGCGAATGTTGAAATATTTGTACCATGACGTCAATTTAAAACAAAATATATTTTCTGAAATGACCTAAGTGATTTTTGTTTCTAACAACATTTTGGAAGTTGAAATTCAACTGAAGTACGATTTAGAGTTAAACAAGTTTGCTGAATATTTGAGTTGGGTTAATACAGGAGTGTATGTTTCAGGTTTAATAATACATCGGTATATTTTCTAGTTTTAATTCAACTGTGTATATTTCTTGATCCCCGTGTCCTTGTCAGTGGTGCAAAACCGAGGACCTGGCAAGGGATAATGTATAGTCGTTCCGGCGGAACAAAAAACTGAGGTCCTGTGTACACATTGGGGTGCACGTAAAAGGTCCCTTGGCAGTTTGAATTAGATATAAGAGTAGGCCGAAACGCCGCTGCCCGGGCAAAATTGCCTTCATATCATACTGTGTGGCGTATGCTCGTTATGTAAGGTTAATATCTGTGTATGTTTCAGGTTGATATAATTATGCTTTGCGTATTTAACGTTGATATAATTGTGTATGTTTTACTTATTTCAGGTTGATATAACTGTGAATGTATTAATAGTTGATGTCAATGACAATTCACCGAATTTTACTGTAAATACTTATTATTTGAACATAAGTGAGGTAAGATAAGATAATATTCGCGTATTTTATGTTGAAATCTGTTCACAATTGAACCCACTTAACACCAATTTGAAAGCCTTCATCGTTATACCCCTTGTGTTATGTTTTACTTCAATTATAAAAAAAAACTGGCTTTCTGGCTTCCACAAGAAACTACTTAAAGAAGAACGAGGGAGCAGTCTGGTTTAAAATATCTAAATTTCCTTTCGTTTATTTGTTTGGATTTTGTGGGTTATACTTTCGATAGCCTCTATTCCATATAGATCTGACAGACTTGCAAAGGAGGTCACGTCAGGATTCACACAGAAAATGATTTATATTTAACTCTTTTTTTTCTAATTCCTCTAAAACTCTATCAGGCCCAACTATCGCCAAGACATAATATTAAACAAAATTAGTTTGCAGTATTATGGTTTTTTGTTTGTTTTTTAATATGATTTTGTTGTAATGTAGATTTTTTTTAAAAGGATGTTCCTGTGGGTCAGAATATTGTGACTAATATTAAAGCCAACGATTCAGATCCTGGACAAAATGGACAGATTTTGTATGATATCGTTCAAGGCCAATATTCTGTAAGTTTACCATTGCCTTCTTACATTTCGTTGATTGGACATTAGGACATATTTTCCAACGTGGTTTCCCCTTGTCAGTGGTGCAGGACGGGGACGGCCTGACAAGGAAAGCTGTCTAATCGTTCAGATGGGACGAAAAACCGAGGTCCCGTATATAAAGCAGTTGGAATTCGAAGTACGAGTAGGCCATAGTGTCGATGTCCGGTCAAAACTTCCCTCATAGCACACTGTATTACGTACGCCCGTCTTCATTAGCCCACTCGGAGCAGAACAGTAGGACGTTAAACCCCATTTCATTTCATTAGAAAATACGAACGATAACTGTGGTTATTATTCACCATAATCCAACTCATCAAATATTTAAAACCAAGGCGTATGGGTGGAAAGAGGATGTGAGCTTACATTGTTATTCCTAGATTTGATATCCAAGATTCTCATTTGATAGTCGTTTGAGTAGGGTCCACTTGTGCACAGGTTGCTGTGCACATGAATTAAGAGTTATTGGTGGGGGGGGGGGGGGTGGATGGCCGAATGGTTAGCACGCGTGCGCTGTATCATAAGGTCAGTCATTGAGTCAACTGGCAGGGTTTCGATTCCCCGGTTGTACATGACAAGGAGTAGGGTCGCCTGTCCAACCTCGTGGGTTTTCTCCGGGTCATCCGGTTTCCTCCCACAGCTAAAGACCCCTACGCACAAGCGAATTATTGAAATAAAATTAAACCATGTGTTAGTCCCGAAATGACCTAGTTTGTGTCGAGTGGACGTTAAACCCCATCTCTCTCTCTCTCTCTCTCTCTCTCTCTCTCTCTCTCTTATGTATTTAGCTAAAACACATAAAGATGGCGATGTAAAATAAATAGAAACAAATGTAAACTTTAAGTGGTGATAGACTGATTTAGAATTGATTGATTTAAATGACATTTGGGTCAAAGTATCTTTGATTGTGTCTGGTCTTAAATAAAATCCTTATACGGCATTTAGTAATTGAATATATAATATTACAACACAATTTATATGGAAAACAATCACTGAGTTTATTTCACACTACATTTCAACAAGTTATTTACTTGAGAACGACAAGAGGAACTTGTTGAAACGTAGTGTGAAATAAAGTCAGTGATTGTTTTCCATGTAAATTGTGTTTTGATATGGTCTTAAATAAATAACCTTTAGTCTGTCATGTTGGGAATATTGAATCATTGAATATTGATATTGCCATTATTTATTTTTAAAGCTACTTCATTGCAGTTTATAATATCCAAATTATTACCCGATGTGCACTATTAATTACTGTCGTTTTCAGGAATATTTTGAAATAGAAGATAAGGTAAAAACTGTCATTCGTCTGAATAAATCCTTGGATTATGAACAACTTAAAATCATGACATTAAATATTTCAGCGAAGGTGAGTCAATAGTTTACACTTGTCTGTGTTGTCAGTTTAACAAGGGAACTGATACAATGTACTGATTAGTATGTATATCTGAATTCCCTGGCTTTGTAACGATTTCATTAATTCGTCTACATATACACAGTTACTTTTTAAAAGATTACCTCATTGAAGGGACATTGCCGAATTGAACGCCATTGAGAATTTTCATAATTTCAGGTTCTGTACAATGCAAGTTGGTGATTTCAAAATGTTGCTTCTTTTAAACGTTATCGGCAAAAGAAATGGTTAATGTAAGCATGTTTAAATGCGACCATTTCCTGGATAATGATGACTTTATTTATGTGCACCATACAGTTAGTAAAGTTAGGTCATTCAACCAGGACCTGCGTGCACATTGACAAATCGCATGTGAAAATGGGCTTCAAGAGAGCCATAAATACGTGTTATATCTGTGGCACCTACTGCCCAGAGCATTTCCCAAACAATAATAAACATATTTCAAATTCATAATCGAACCTGATGTCTGGCGTGAATATATAAATTCTCTGTTGCTTCAAAATCTGAAGATAGTTTGTCACAGTGGAGCAGCATTTCGTATCATCTTATATATAAAAAAAATACATATCCATGACTTCCATTATTGAATTGTAATTTTAAAACTTACATTTCAGGACCAGCCTATGAATGAACCCGCACTAACTTCCATGTGTCAGCTTGTTGTAACCGTCCTGGATGCTGATGATTCCAGCCCAGAATTTACTAAAAAAAAGTACACCGGAAGCATCCTTAACACCGCAACACCGGTAAGAAGATAGGATAAACGAAAACATTGATATATTTATTTAGAAAAACACGAAAATAATTCAGAATTTATATATCTATTTAGGAGAACACGAAAACTTTAGGAGAACACGAAAACAATTCGGAATTTATATATCTATTTAGGAAAACACGAAAACAATTGAGGATTTATATTTTATTTAAGATAACACAAAACAATTAGGAATTTATATATTTATTTAGGAGAAGGCTAAGCAATTGAGGATTTATATATCTATTTAGGAGAACACGAAAACAAGATTTATTTTGCAAGGCTCTTTTTTTTTATAAATTTAAAGACTAGAAAAATGAAAGCTGTGGTATTAGACATTGATAACTGGTTGTTTTAATAAGGCGTGAAACGTGTCGTTTTAAATCAAGTTTTGTTTACCCGTGGCTATATTAAAGATACATTATGGGAGATTCGATACGAGTTGGCAGTTCTCACTATAATAGTTAAAAACTAGATAATGTAAAGGCAATTTGCTGAAAATTTCATTCAAATTGATCCACTATGAACCGAGAACTAAGCGATTGAAATTTCCGCCTAGCCTCGATCATCATTACTAAAGTCAGTACGATAAACAGCAGAGTCTCGATTATCCATTTAATCGTTAAATCGTGAAGGAAAGTTATGCAGTAAATCGGCTCAAGAAAGACCTGCAATAGACAGATTTAGTTCTTGCATAATGTAGTAGTAGTAGTTGTTTATTAACGTCTCACCAGTTATAAATACATCACATTCAAAAATTATAATATACTAAGAATAAAAAGAAACTGCCATTCATTAAGAATTATGAGAGACGAGATGTACATTATAAAGACACAAATAAATAAGCATAGTAAAATACAAATAACAGAAAAACACACATACAATGTGAATTTTAAAACTTACATCTACACTTATAGGCTAAAAATAGGAACCCAATCACGAACATGGGTATAAAGTTTGCCTCCGTCTTTTTAAAATATCGCAGCAGGTTTTGGCACTCAACTTAACTACTTCGTCACTGGACAGAATAAAAGACATTTTATCAGAGCTATTAAAAGACGCAAAGTTTGGACACATATCCTGTATGAAAGTGAATAAAACATTCCTAAAATCGCTATATAATTCGCATTCTAAAAGACAATGTTCTTCATTTTCGACTTTATCTGTACAATAAAAACAAAGACGGCTCTCAACAGGGATTCCTTCATATCGACCAGTTTCTAGACGGAGCGGAGCTACTCCACATCTAAATTTCGCCAGAGCACTGCGATGGGAGGGAATAATATTGTCCGTTACATATTTCTCAGGTCCATACACAAACTTAAACGAACGATAAGACCGGAGCTTATTATGACCTTGGCCGGCTTTAGCACTAACATGGGTTACATCATTGAACCATTTTTCTAAAGACAAATGGGAGTTTCTTTCGAAAACATCACAAACAAGTTTTCGGGTATTTACATGACTATTCATATCTATATTGATATCTAGTTTCTTTAAATGATTCTTAACTCTAAAATTCCAGTTTTTGGTTCTTTTTGCCTTTAAATTACTCCAGTTAAAGACAATCTTAGTTACTCGACTATCCGTCAAATTGCATAATCTACCATAGTGTCTGATCACACTATCCCATTGGCGAACATGTATAGGCACCCACCCCATGTCCCCGTTAACAGCAGCATTTGGGGTGTATCTGCCTACTCCAAGGAAATATCTACATGCTCTATTCTGCACAGCCGTCACACAACTAAATTCCCGGTCACCCCAGATCGCCGCACCGTAACTAATAATAGGATATATTAAATTATTATACAGTTTAGTAAACGTATTATAAGGCAGCCCACCCATACATTTTGCTTTGGCAGTCAGTAAACCCAGGGCTCGGGCAGCAGACTTGGCTACATGTTTGGCCATACAAGTATAATCTAGATTCTCCGTTAGAAACATCCCTAAATATACATAATTACTTTGTATGGAAATGTTCGTTGCGCCGCAGGTAAACTTAAATACAGTCTGTGGAATTGATGTGGTATGTTTAAACAAAATAACTACTGGTCTAGTTATTAAACAGGGTATGCTTACTCTTTCTAGAGCACTTTCCAGAGCACTAAATACCACTTCTTGCTGGAGAACTTCACACAGCCAACAAATTTCTGGGGTACTTTATTCATATCTGTATCTAATATTGATTTTGTTACATGATATGGTGTAACAACGGGATATTATTCCTTGTCAGGATCTATGCCCTAACAGGAAGAACAAGCTTTATTGAAAAACCGTTGTATGTCATTTATTTTTTTGTATAAATTCACTTTCATTTTTACAGGGAACAAAAGTAAATGTCAACGCTAAAATACTTGCAACAGATCCAGATGTTACAATTAATTCTCCCGTTAAATATTCCTTATATGGTAAGCGCATGGGGATTGCACGGTTTGCATTTACCAACAATTATTGAGTAGTCTCTTTGTTATTGACGTCATATTCACCATCTTGTTTACTGCAACTAACCAATTATTTTAGTTAATTTAATTGTCCAATATCACTGCAAACTAACATGATCTACTTTCATTTCCTATTAAGTTTTTAAACAACCTTTTATTATTAGTAATTCGTGGTCTGATATTGTTGTAGACATCTGTGTTTTTTGTTTTGTTTTTCTTTCTTAAACAATACTTTCATTTAATTATCATATTCATTGCTATTGAATCGTGAAAACTTTGATATACCATTGCTTGTTCCGAAAACACAAAATCCTGACATCACGTAAGATATTCTTATACAAAGGGCAATAACTCTGCGAATGTGTATATTATATCTGTGAGGTGTTGGTTTAACCTTGCAAATGCATTTAAGACGGGTTCTGGTGCTTAGAAACACGTGTTTTAAGAATGACAATCTATGAGTGTGAACACTTCGGTGTAAAACCTAATTCCGACTAACACCCAATCAAAGGGGCAAGTTTTATGGAAACGCATCCATTTTGTCGGTTTCACTGTTGTAAAAAAAGCTTTTTTTTTATATTTTCAATATTCGGTCTTGTCGATGTGCATCTGTTATTTCAGGCTTTCGATGTTAACTTTTAATACTCTTTAAAGCTCCAATGCTTCAGAAGGCTAATATTCCAATTCATATTTAATTCAAGAAATTCTGTTGCGGAATGGGGTTATAGTACAGAAAAACATGACGTCATGAAATTAGTGTCATGAAATTGAAAGATGTATTTAGTTCTATGTTGTCAATAAACATATCTTACTTCATGATTAATTGATTGTTTGTACTAATATGAATTTTGATACGACTACTCTGCCCTTTAGTCTGGAATATTGTGCCTTTAAAGCAAAAAACAAACGAGTCGACATCCACAAGCTATGCACAATCCCTGTAAATGCAAAACCGATATTTCTTATCGCGTCCGTTGAAATTAAAGGGGTATTATCACTTTGGCCATGGAAATAAATGTTATTATATTGGAATAAAATTAGAATAAACTTACATAATTAGTGAAAATCTTAACTGCGATTTGTAAAGAGTAGTGTAATTTACGTGAATATTCATTAAAATTATTAAAAATCCGTAACACATTCTGACAGCGAAGATCCCCAAAGCGTTAACGCTTCTTTAATACCTGACCTATCTATGTAGGGGAGGTATCCTGATATTATGTTGAACATTCATAAAAAAATAATGGGTTTTATTTAGTTTAACGTCGTACTTTTCTGCTAAACATTTCCCCTGAATCTCGAGTCGGATTAAATTAATCCCCATCTGTGGCACCTTCCTTGGTATCGTTCCCATCATCGCCGTCATCTTCTTCATCATCACCATTATCACTATCAGCATTATCGTTTTCAATCACTACAAGCGCCATCGTTATTATCGTATCACCATCACCACATAAGTGTTGGGTGTTATGTTATGTTGTAGTGTTTTGTTATGTTTTTGGTGTGCTTGTGGTTTTTATTTGAACTGTATTTTGTTTTTGTTTTTTTCTCTGTGTTAGGTTTTTTGCCATTACTTTGGGGAAGGAAACCATGATACATTTTTGTTTTGTTTTGTGGATTGCAAGAAATGTTCCTCCAATCCTCAATTTTGGCTTGGTTAGCTTACTGACTTTTTAAAAAACGAAATAGACCGCTCATCCCCATTTCAATTAGAGGCGACAGAGGCGCTTTCTATCGAACAATGCATGATAATTGCACCTTAAAACAAACACTGCACAGATAATACAATTAATCCAAAGACAACGTGGATGTAAAAAAAAAAACAAAAACAAAAAAAAACCCTGCACGAGACAGATATGCCCTTTCGGAAGAACACTCGATAAAACTTAACGTTTGTGGACTTCACGTAACTAACAAATTTTGTTTATACTTTGGTTACTTTGTCTATACGTTTAATGTTTTTGTTTCGAAAGTTTAAGCGGAAATCGGTTTGTTACTATTTCTAGTTTCATTTTGGGCTAAATATGTCGACAGTTGGTGAACAATCAATTATATCTCAACATTGCCTTAACCCATAGACATAAAGTTTTCAAGTAAGACAAATTAAATTCTCATCTCCTAAATTATATCAACATTATAAAATCAAATAAAATTGATAATTTAACCAAATAAAAGAGATATAGAAATATAAGTCTTTCTTGCAATCCACGTCAAATTCAAATAAAAATAGAAATTTGTGAAGAGTTTATAAATATTTTGTTATATGCCAGGAGGGATTATATATATATATATATATATATACATATATACTAGTAGACGTATTGTTTTAAACTACCTTTACACATTTATCTCATTTACCTACAAAGAGGTTTTAGACCTTTAAACGTAAAATAGATGTAACCTGGAAATCCAAGAAGTGATCTACCATTCATCATGGGCGTCTAATATGAGAACGACTAGCACGAGATTATAAAACGTATATCTTGGAACACTCTCAGTATACAACTGTATAGTCGAGTCACAATCAACTGTTTTATTGACCCACGTAGATCTTTAAAATTCTAAAGCCTCTTTAATGCTGCCCGGTCTATAGCATGAATTCTATTGCTTTTTTCCCAAATCTTTTTCTTTTCACTTTAACGCATTGTCTAGTAGCTAATTTTCAAACTTTTAATGGTGTAGAGAATTACTTAGAATCATTGAAACTTATTGGAACGAAATTAACGATTGCTGTAAAAGTTCACATTCAAACTTTGGAAATCCATAATCATGTAACATGAATTTCAAATAAACGAAATGTTTATTTGGTCATACACAATTTACGAAACTATCACAATAATACACGTAGTGTAGTTTATGTCCGTAGTAGATAATGTTGTAGCTTTTATATGCTAAGATAAACTGTGAATGATATTGAAGTGTTCTGTTCATTGAATAATTATATAATTATTAAATCGGAATGCCTTTATTTAATACCGCTAACAGATGAGGATAATGTATTTGAGATTGATGGAACATCTGGTGAGGTAAAAGTTAAACAAACTCCAACTGCTAAAACATATTCTCTCATGGTAGAGGTAAGTGCAATTTAAATTCTGTATTAGTAGCCACTCCATCAACAATATTTGGTATTTATTATTTTAGCTATATTTTTGTCTAAATATAAATTTGTGATACCCTTTTTGTTGATTTGTCCAGTTCCAAGAATATATTAGGTAAAAAGAGGGGTTTAACTTTGGCTCAATACAATCAGGATCATTTTGGGAGTAAATGGTATATATTTATTACAATAGTTCGCAGTGGGAGCTAACTACAGAACACTCACGAGGTTGTGCTGGCGACGACTACTTGAATCATTGATAGATCTTATGATCTAAATCGCCCCACCCCGCCACGAATAATGTCAAGATGAACCCACCCTGCCTCCTACCTGACTCATTGTCACGTACATGATTGGAATAGAAACCACGATATTTTACCCCCAGCCTTAAAATCCAAATTTAGATATATCCAAACCTCAAATATCAAATATTAAGGCAAATATTTTGCTTATCTGAGAATAATTTGGGATACCGTAACGAGTAAAGGGAGATAAGTATATATATATTTTTTTTGCCTCGTCAGAAGAAAATTGGCGTGTAACATCAATAATTATGAAGGGTAAGCACAGGTATTTAATCAACTTCTGGAGATAATTGTTATAATGGCTATACAAACTGTTTCTTTGGCCATCACTCTTGTTAAAACAAGGATGGTTCCAGGAACTGACCATGACGTCATCGTAGCCATGCTGAAATTGTGACTTATCCGGCAATCGATGCACAATTGTCCAATAAACAAGCATACCATTTTTCATGTCGATCATACATGACTTGGCAGCGTCTGAGTTATTTGTCGAAGAGCTTCGCACCCAATAACAAGATGAGTTGAGCTAGGAGACCAGTTCCTGACCCTCCAAAATATCCAAGTGTTGGATCGAGTGAGATGGAAAGTACAACGTTTAGGACAAATACCCTTTTTAAAGTATGGAGTAAAGTGTTGAGGAGGAGCCACGTGAAGTGACACACGAACGTGAATCGAATTGAGGTGGCGATCTTTCAAAACAAGAACGGTAAAAACATTGTTATACACACATGCTACCGTGTCTTCGTATTTGTAAATCATGCTTATACCGAGATGTTTGATTATTTTTGCAGGCAATTCAAGTAGATAATAGTTTAAGAAAGGGAACAGCGATATTACAGATTCGAGTATTAGATAGTAATACTACTAGTCCACCAATGTTTGAAAGGACTAACTACTATCTATCAGTACCAGAGTCAACACCTATTCTTACAACAATTCTTACTCTATCAGTTAAAGACAATGATATTGTAAGTAAACTAGCCCTCTCACACAGTGCAGGATTAAGGCGCATGGGGGCCATGGCGCACTTAAGTAAATGGGGTTCCAATTGAATTACAAAATTGTATATAAAACTTATGAATACGTAGGTTAAATAGAAAAGTTCTATCTCAAATCACTGTTGTTCAGCAAACTTAGTTGTTTTACTTGTAATTACTGTACTGAAGTCACCTCCAAAGTCAAATAGTTCAGCCACATTTGCGTCATAGTGGAACTCAAGATTTGATTTATACTATTCAATTGATATGATATACAAACGCAAACATAATAAAAATATTGAAATTGAAATATGATATAAATAAAATAAAAGCAACAGTTATACAATAGTTTAATTTAGTTATTTTTTACTGAGAAGTGTACTTGTTAAAAAAAATATTCTGTATTCTAACTTTCTAAGGAACCCCCCAAAGTGTGCAATAGGTCATCCGCCACTGCTCACACATACATTGAATAGTTTTTCAAGGATATTCGATCTGGTTTATGGTATCCGTTATTTCATGTCGGCTAAGACAGTCTGATTCTCAAAAGCGTAACATTAGCCCAGTTGGAACAGAACTTAAATTAAAATATTATTAGAATGTCACACTTTCATTGGCTAAGAGCTAAAAAAAAATGTTAGAATATTAACTCCCAACGAATGAAAAGTCTGGATTCTTAAAATGTTTTAGCTTAAGGTTTGTTTCTTTTTTTTATAGTTCAAATTTCGTTTCATTTGCGGTATGAAAGAGTTTTTGAATAAACCCGAGTTTATCGAAAGTATTAAAAATGAAACGAAATTTAGATCTGTATTTTAATCCGGTTGCAATACGATTTTTTGTCTTCTATAAAATGTTCACTTTACTAATTATTCAATGAAAACATCTAATATTCAAAACAAATAAACAACAAATGATGGAAAATATATTGATTTAAAATTTGAAAGATTGATTTCGTAGTTTCCAGGAATCTGAAAATGCGCACTAAAAGAGAACTGGATGAAAATTTGATTGGTTCAAATAATTTCGAATATTCGAATAGCATAATCGGCATTGGGTGTTACCAGTGCACTTTTATATCTACAATACAGCATCACACAATCAGAAATGCCAAAGCGAATCAGTTATTCACTGCAGTTTGTTAAGAAAGGGGAAGGTGAGAGAAAGAGAATTTAACGTCAAGTGAACACAAACTGGGTTATTTCGGGACTAATCAATTCACTTAAGCAGTTGGAAGAAACCAGAGAACCACGAAACGTGAATCGATGACAGACCACTCTACCTCCAAACACCCATTTTAAAATAATAATAATAATAATGATTTTGTTGTTATTTAACAATTTTAGTATCTATAACATTATTTTTCAGGATGACACTGTAACTTTTGCATTAAGAACGGCTTCCAGTATATTTGATGTTAATCCACAAAGGTAAAAATCTGACAGTCGTTATTTTATTACTATAATGAATTCTGTCAAATGAAGTTTATGTAAAATTTGCTGGGTATCACACACTGTATATTTGGTTTGAATACACTAATGGGCCCGGTGAGTTTTCTGTCAATTTAATAATGATTATGATACGGTTGATAGCAGAAAGTATGAAGCGAAACAAACATGACCAGGATACCGCGGTAAAAAGTATAGCCAGAGACAAGGCACATAGCTACGGTTCTTTAGATTTTTGATTTTCGACGAATCATCGGAGATATTTTTAAAGTGCACATAAGATGGGTTTGGGAACTTTTGGATATGTGTAGCCAATGGTTACTATATCAACTTTACGGCAAGTTCACACCAATCTGATTGAAATTAATTCAGTTATCTTCACTCAAAGTCGTAAAAATGGACCTCCCGTGAAAACGACTTTGCCAATTATCGAAAACACTCTTAATCCCCTCAGACGCCAGTGACGTCACAGTGACCGAATGCATATTCGGAATGTTTATTCCTTAATTACCTATATACAGCCGGCGTGTGTACTCATTAACGCCTGACTGATTCCTTAATCTCCCTTAGTTCTTAATTAAATAAAAAAATTGACTACGGAATAATTCGTTTTGTAATTCATTTTAATTTAAGATCCAATTTAGATTGCCTACAACTTTTAAACTTTGAAGTCTTGAACTCTTAATTAATATTTTACAATATGGAACTTATTGGACGAACACTTTTAATATGTAAATAATATACCGGTCCAGCTATGTGTTTTTTACTGCGAGCACTTCGCTTTTCCACATAAAGTGTAGTGTCGTTAATATTTGTCATTAATTAATCAATCCGACTATAAAAGTTATACAGGCATGGGTCATAAATTACACGTCGGTGTTAGCAATGAGTGTTAGTGGGGTTAAGAATGTTGATTAGGTAATTATCTTTTTTTACGCCGTGTGCATAATACCTCATGAACGAACTAATGGTAGAATCGTACACCCACACATTAATTGTATAAAATCATTAAGTTTTACTCATCAGTTGTTTATAATTATTATTTACCCAATAATTATTGCTCACCAGTGTTTTTGTAATCAAGTAGCCTCGTATTATTTGTTGATTGGCTTTTAAACAACAATCGTTTATCTTATTTTTAATAAAAGTATTTTACAATTGCATTGACAGTTTAATCACTCACCAAACGGCACCAAGAACTCCACGTATGATCCCGTGCAATTTTCGTGCCGAAGTTTAACCTCATTTACTACACCCGTAGTACATGTAACCGTAAATGGTAATAAGATTCCCAGCGTTGATTGACTGAGAAATGAGGGCGATCTATTGTACATGTTATGCATAGTCATCGGAAAATTCCATATTCACTGTAAATTTCAAATGGAGTTACGATAAAAGTTGTTCTTTATGTATAGATTATTATTATATATAGCTAATAATGAATATATCGACAAATGACTGGCGCCATTTGTATTTCTGTACTAAAGTTTGGTATATCAAGTATTACGGGGTTATCCAAATTACCGGTAAATGCGCTAATTTCTTGAGTCGTCTTCATTTGACACGTGGCCTATTTAAACAAAGGCAGCTTAAATGGATCTACGGCATGATACGGCATTTGAAATTCACTCTAAAATATTCCAATCACAAATGAAAGACGATAATTCGGCGATTATGATTAGGCCAGTCACGTGGTAATTGGACCGTCAACAGACGCTTGTCAACTTGCCGTGTGTATTGATAGTGCTATATTGTACAGACGGTGAGAAGTTGCCGTAAAGTTGATATAGTAACCATGGGCTATACGTACATGTAATTTAGATTTTTGATCTTACGTGGTCTTTAAAAAAAAAAAAATTATTTATGAATATTTTTATGTACTATTTTACCCAATGTTAAAGAGTCATCTGATTCGATCAAAAATGGCAACATATTTTGTCACCGTAATTTTCCTTGGCCGCCATTGGTTAATTCAGTTTTTCAGTCCTGGATTAATTATGTAACTGATTTAGTTGATTCTGCTTCTGTTTCATAACACGTGTGCAATGCTTATGTGGAAATCTGTTTAAGGGTTTCATTGGTACGGGATGTGACATAAGTTCAAGGGTATGGCCCCAGAAGTGACAAAAGTTCAAGGGTAACGTGGCACCGGTGAAACCCGTCATTACTGCATCGCAGTCCTAGTTCAATATTTGTTTTTAATGATCATTGTTCTGTTATTTTAGTGGTGATCTACTGGTTAAAAAATCTCTAGATTATGAGACACAGCGAAATTATACTCTACAAATAACTGCAACAGATGACACACATGTAAGTAATGCTGTTTAACGCCCTAGCAACATTACCTAGGTCATTTCGCGACTAATATACGGCATATTTAATTTCAATAATTCACTTAAGAAAATCAACGAGTTTCTCAGGCGACCAAACTCTGTGTGACATTAATGAACTCAAAGGTCAAAGGATCCTACTTCATCTCCATATCACGGGAACGAACTCGTGACTTGTACTGATAAACAGCGAGGTTCTTGAGCGAACGCGCTCCGTATCAAGGGTTAACAGTTCTTATGAAATAAAGTGCAAATGCAAGAACTAGATCAACCCGTTTCCCACCCTCCATATAAATGATGAACTATTGTAATATTTCTACTACAATTCCGTGGTTTATTCGCGTGGGTTTGTTTTTGGATGGTAGTGCAACTATTCAAACCCTACAAGACTCGCTAAAGTTGGTAATTTAATGTTGTATAAATATTGGCACAAAAATTGTAACCATGTTGGACTTCCAAAATAAATCACGAGTACTCGGCATGGATTTGAGACTATATAGAAGATAAACTTTAACTTGGTCGGAAGCCTAAGGGGAGGGATAGATAAATGGAGTTTAACGTCCACTCGACACAAACTAGGTCATTTCGGGACTAACATAAGGTTCAACTTTATTTCAATAATTCGCTTGCACGTAGGGATCTTTAGCAGTGGGAGGAAATCGGAGGATCCGGAGAAAACCAACGAGGTTGGACAGGCGACCCCATTCCTTGTCACGTACAACTGGGGATGGAAGCCTAAGGTATTTGATAGATGTTTACAACCGCGACCGAACGCCCTCTGTTGCGGGTGTGAGCAAATATGGTGAATTTATATTTCAGACGGCCACTGCAACAGTTAAAGTTACAGTTTCTGATGTGAATGATAATAATCCGAGCATTGTACAAAAGGAAGAAATTGTCGCGGCGCAGAGACAAAATGGTGCCATCTTAACTACAATAATGGTAAGTCTGCCTGAACCATTCTATTGATTTATGTATGATAATTTGAAGATTATTATTTATATGACTCAAACAATTTAAAATTTACAAATTAATGCGCATTCATTCAGTTATTGTCATTATGATCTACAAGGTTTGAGGCAAGTTAAAGTCATATATTCACTTATTGGTCATGGTTTTAACTAAAGGCTAATTAATTATTTTGTCGCCATATCACGACATCAATCTAAGGATACACTGTACACAATTTTCTAAAGATATATCCTTAATTCATTTAAGTAATGTCGAGATGATTTTCTGTACATAAATGTTCAGTCAGATGTTGTGTTATACGGTATACATAAATCAATCAGGATTTAGTCATGCTTGGCGTTACTTCAATTAAATTAGAATATCTATTTATAAGAAGGGACGTTGTGCACGATTTGGGTGTATTAAAGGGGTCAAAAAGTATTTTTAAAACGAAGAGAATAATATAAGCAAATAACCTTTAGTTGAGAGACATGGTTATATGAACTTATATCGGAAATAAATACTATATTCTAAATATCATGGATTTTTGTTTGTACTTTTTATGATAATGTGTTACTCTGTTACGTAAACCCATACTATATTTACGTAATGTGATATGAAATATGCTGCGTGTAATTGCATAGAAAGGTGTATAGAAAGGCTAATACGATTTTAATGCGTTTGATGTGCGTAAGTGAAACTGATCGGGTTCTTTAAAATCTATCGTCGTATGGATTGAATTATTGTGTATTAAGGTATCGCCAAACAGTCTAATGAAAAAGATTTAATAACCATATATCGCGGGAGAAAGATGTTGCTTTTAAGAGCTCCAACTTTTATATACGAGACATTTTAATGTGATATTTGATTTATTAAAATAATTTTATTACAGGCAACGGATCAAGACGAATCCAGCAAACTCTCTTTTGTTCTGCGCAGCTACACAGAGTAAGATATATATATTTTTTAAATTTGATATAATTTTAAAGGCTTTAATTTGTATTTAATTAAAATAATATATTAAATTGGTTCTTATAATATTCAATTAGATAATTTAGATTTTATTGTGGAGTGTGATTTTTATGATATCCAATTTTCGATATTGAGACGTGAGATAACGATGACAATTCAATAGAGTGTATAAAACGTTAATGAACATAATCAGGTATATTATGAGTAGACAATAATACATACGCCGATTATTATGCAAACTGGTTTAGTTTTCCTTATCATCAGAAACACTGTCCAGTTTGTACGTTTTCACAACACTTCAATAATGGCGTATTAAGTCCAGTTGTACATGAGGGTAATAGCTAAGAGTCATGTACAGCCCCTTACAGCATACCAATAAAACAGTTTGACGAACCAGTCTTGATAACGTTAATATCTTAGTAGCACTTAAAAAAAAGAATAAAAATAAAGTACGGCTTCAGTCAGTATAAAGTAATAGAATAAATACTTCACATACAAGGCTTCAAAAACATGCCTTGGTAATTTCAAAAGGTATTTTGTTATTACCACAGTTACTTCCTTATGTTCGGAAAGATGCCAACATTATTAGTATTTTTGAGCCTTTTCATTACTAAAGCTGTCAACAAAAACACAAAAACCGTTGTCACAATTCCTCATTAAAATTTCCTTTTAAAGTCACGTTTTCTCTTGTATTTCCTACAGAGTGTGCTCATTATTCATTCAGCTTTTGTGAATCTGCCAACATTTGTAAACGTTTCTTCACTGTAGAACCCATCTCAATGCATTACGCGTGAAGGCATAATCGAACGTAATGTTGGCGTGAAATTACGATGCCTTAGTTGGGTTGTTATGAGAGGCCATTACTTATTGTGCGCAATGTTAGATTGTTATCCGTATATACACAATAATGTATGGCTTTAGGCTAAACCACGCTTCACAGGTTGATAAGAGGTGATTGACGGTGAAAAGTCTCGCTTTTTGCTTTAACTTCGGTGGGCTATTTCTTAAAATTCGAGATGTGTTTTAGCCCAGTGGACTCAAGATTGAAAGAATTTTTCTAATCCATTGGATATCTTCTGAGAAATTGAATACATTGTAATGTATATTGTGAATCATAATCGGAATAAACGGTGTTTATATTGAGAAGTAGATAAGCCTCGCCTTTTGCTTTGACTTCAATGGGATAGTTGTTTAAATTAGAAATGTGTTTAGCCCGTGATTATTTTCTAAGTTGGACTCGATATAACAAGAAGTTCTGAAATTAATTATGTAAATATCTGTGAAAGTAAATACATCGAAATGCATATTGTGAATAATAATATAGATAAAGGTAGGCTGTGTTTATATTGCGAAATGGATAAATAATAATATGTAAAGAAAGAAACCGGATTTTCGTCAGTAAATGACGCCATAAAATAACTATTCGTGTTATTGTTCATGTTTTGTGTTTTTTTAAAAATATTTTTCTAAATAACTGCATGTCAAACGCCAACCCGCAAGTTTGAACAATTTATGTGTATATGTTTAGAGGTAATTTCTATGAATCAAAAAGCCTCTTTACTGGAGCATTTCATTTTTCAATTCACTGAAAATATTATACATATTTTAAGAATACGTTATGCTTTATTACATACCTTTAAACATAGAGTTACATACATATAAAAGTTACACTGAGCAAGGCTATAAAATGAATTTATATTATCATATCGTGGTTGGGTATATTAACCGTGTCAACGAATGTACCATAGCTGTTATCCTGTGGGTGTTTAAAGTATTTATAATTCAAGGTCTTAAAAGCAATACCTTAAGAACACAAACAAGGTTAATTTGCATACCTGACAATATACCCTGTAAAAGTGGATCACGGGGCCTTCATATTCTTTAAGGTAATAAGGATTGTTGGCTCCTGTACTCGTCAGCATTGTTTCAGACATATAGAGGCCATTAGATATAAAAGCTGTACTCTCTTTTGTACTTGTCTGCGATATCACCTCGGTGGAAGCGGACGTAAAATACAACTAACTCATCATCATTGTACTTTTTTTGTTTCATGTTAATCAGTATAAAAACGTCCGCTCCAATTTGCTGTGAATAATTACTGGTATCGTGGTCGAAACAGGTTTTGCATATGCATTGCTCCGCTTTGTATTGTGCCACATTTGAATTATTCATTACATAAAACAATCATAATTATCCGATTGCAGGCAGATGGACAGAAAAAGACCAACATGTTCGTTCTCACTCGCGCCTATTATCTAAAATATACTTTGTTAAAACAATGAAGGGCCATAAAGACATGTTAGTTGACAATAACATAACATGATATATGATAAACTCGTCTAGTATAATTCATAATTCTGATATCTATTTATTAATGGAAACACTTATAGAATCATCCATCAAACATAAAGTTGATTTATATATGCCTTTCATGTTTACATTAAAGATATATTCCCCCAAAGTATTTGGAAATCGTTACCGTGAGTTCACACAACATAGAATGCCACTATCTCAGTAAAGTATGACCCGATTAGGATTAAAGTTGGTTTGTTACTTTCGGGATTAGGCTACACACAAAATTAACATCCGTTTCATGTGCTCTTTAAAGAATGTCCTTTCCAAGAAAATTGGACCACGTATTACATTAGATTTCTGTAGGTAGAGATTTCAAAAGGGTCAATTGTAGAGATTAGTAATTTTAGTAAAATTCTCGTATATATTTTAAATGGTCTATTTTTTTTCAGGTGATGTAATCTTTTTTGTTCTGTTCTTTCAAAGTGTTCATACATATTTTGATTTATTTCCAGTCTCTTTGCCGTCAGTGACGAAGGTGTAGTCTCGATCATAGGTCTTGCTGAGGAATTAAAAGAAAATAGTTATGCCCTGTTGATCGAAGTTTCGGATAACGGTATACCGCCAAGAAAAGAATCAAAGATTATTACTGTTGAATTTTCCAAATTGCCCGTGACAGGCGGAGTGATTATGGCGGGTGGCCAAGATGATACATTGGCGATCGTGTTTGGGGTATTGGCAGCCATCATGTTCATAGTAATAATCGTTCTACTCTTCTACATCTTCAGAAAGTAAGTACAATATTCTGTAGAGTCTTTAAAAGGAAAATATGCATTTGTTGAGATACAGAGTGATAACTGAAATATATTAGATACCACTAAGACCACCCATGTTTTCTTCAGTAAAATCTAAGTCACTCTGCATGTTTGTTTCACTGTAGATATTCTGTAGTGACATTAGGTAATTTGGTAGAAGTTAAACTGTAAAGTGGGTACTAAAATGGGTTGTGTAAGGAACTAACTGATCTTTAAATGTCGGGTCCAAAATGTCTTATCTAAAGACAGTACTGAAAACACTGTAAATATCTGCCTAGTAGATTTAATCAATCCCCATTCATTTCATTTCATTTAATTTCGTGAATTATTTTTGCTTTGTACTCGTTATGCGATCTTTAGTGAATTGATTTTAATTGGGCTGAAAATCGATTGACATGGATTTTCAGTATTCTCTTTGTGGTCAACATCTACTTTTTCATAGCTTTGAACTACCCACTATTTTAATTTATTTTACAACTATCCCATTTCAGACGTGAGGAATTTGAAAACTTAAGGTATAGACTACGCAAAAACCTGCCTGTAGATAGTCTAGTTTGTAGTTTCAATCCAGTAGATATTTCCCTTAAAGATATCCAGACTTTTAGCATTTTTTATTAATAAATCGATTAGAGTCCTGTGTAAAATGAAATGAAATGAATGAGGATTTATGGCACATCGGCACCTAATCTTTCAACGAATTTCCATTCTTAATTAGCTATGAAAATCTCAAGAAACAATGACACATGACACATTCCTTTTTCTCTTCTTCTTTATAATTTTATATTATTGTAATGGTTGATGTACAACCGTTTTATAACCACCTCAGTGAAAGCCGTGTGCAGTATTTTGTCGTATAGTTTGTAACGGATAGATCCAGGGTTGGTCACAGTCGTGGTCTGTGGTTGTAGTCTAAGAATAACCAAGTAACGTGTTGGGGAAAAGTAAAAATCACTTCATTTCACTTTCAAAATCACCCAACTATGTTTTGGTTTTATCCACCGATTATGCGTGTGTCTATGGTCATTTTCGGTTGTTACTGACAGCTACTTTATGGTGGAAAGTTGAGGTCACTGGTGACATCCGAGAATGACTAATTTCGCCATTATCAAAATTGAAGGCAGCAGTTTTAAATTGTACCGAAAAAGTATTGGTTCTGTACGTGCCTTAAAACATCATTCATTTCAACTCCAGCGTATATGAAATTTAGTTGGTAAGGGATGAATAGCGGATTATTTCGATTATTTTATTCCAAATGGTCAACCATTATTCAAAACTACATCCTGTATATAAACCCCGCTTTATGATTGAGTTCATGAGACGAACTATTATCATTAATATGATGTGACTGTACTTGATCAATTATTATTAAAACCATTTTATTACACTAAAAGGGGTTAATAAAACTTATTAGTCGTTATAGATCAAAACCGAGCTATACGATATTTTTCTATTAAAATATTTTGGGTTCATTTATGCGTGACTACAGTTGATGACATTATGATTTGTTAGTCGATGAACCGTTAATATTGCTTTATTTCTAGAAATTTTACAAGTTTTATTTTCTCGCGTGTTGACAGCTAAATGTAAATTGTCAATTATACGTCTGCCTACTTGGAAGATGTTTTGCAGACGTGTGAATATTTAGAATACTATAAAAAATATATTGATTAATTAGAGCATATTGTAAAAAGGAATCAGGCCAGAACGCCTGGCTTCCAGTTGGTTCCAAGAATCTAAACTATTTTATTTCGTTAATTTATAGCTTCTACATTACGCTTATTAGTTTCTCATTAGAAATACAAACATATACTGTCATATTTGCCGATTATATGAAAATTAACCTTATAGACTAAGATCCTTGCTTTCAGAGATGGAAATTATTATTACGATCAGTTTTCCTGTATTCCTAGTTATTTATCAGATTGTGTCAGAATGTTTCATTGGAAAGACTGAAAATCTTTAATGTTTTTGCTTTTTATTTTCAAAATGTTTGATCCATTCACAAGTCATTTACAGGAATTTTAAAATAAATGTTTAGATCGCCGGTTGTTAGCATCAAAAACAAAAACTCGAAGCTAGCTTTCTTTAAATACTTGTCATCCTTAATGTAAGAGGGTTGTTTTGTTTTTCAGAAGACAGCAAAGCTCAGAACACCTAAGCAAGGCCAAACTAAACCGATCAAATAATCCCAAGGGATTGGCTTTCAAATCAAACCCTCCAGCAAGAAACAACCCAGGTCTCATTAACATCGATTATCATGGCAACATCGACGAAACTTCTGATCAAGGCGCCACTACTATCCAGGAAAATCCCTTTAACGATGACCGAATTAATTACGGTTACGTGCACAGCGATTCTGAGACAGATAGAGACATGGATGAGATACACATTGAAACATCGGTTATACCTTATGATGCTTACAAGACCAATTCCGGCGTCTATAGAAACGTTGATGACCATCCGATAAATAACAACTATGACAGCCATAACTACGAAAACGGTTACGAGAATGGCTCCCTCGGTACCTTTAAAGATAGTATTAGTTCGGAAAGTATTAACAGCGAATCTGTGAATAGTAAAAAGGCGTTGGTTGGTGGAAACAATAAACGACCAGCTATGCATATGATGTCATGGGATAATAATGGCCAAGTTCCGTCGGTGGCGTCTATGGTATGTATCCCTACAGTAAAAACGTTGGTACGTATTGTTGTTATTATTTGTCCAACCCCTGCATGATTGGCTAATGATAACATGATTCTGTATGACCAGGTCAAGGTTAGTGTTCTAGAACCTGGATTCAAAGTATTTTCAAAAGTTGTGGTTATTTTACTGGAACTCGCAAAGGCCATCTGTACTTCTAGCGCTGGAACTTCAGTGGTGTCTTGGCGATTAAAAAATTGACTGCGGGTGTGAGAACGTTTCCTATATTATTGTTGTATGTCTTCGTGTTGTCTAACAAACACTAGTAGTCAAAGCATCATAAACTAAACTGTCCTTTGAATCCAGGCTCGATTCTATAGATTTAACAACCTTTTCAAATTACACTGATGTACCAACTTTCCTTCTGACAGCAATATGGCGCTATCTTGGTTCTCGCAGAGATATGGACCTAAGAAAAATAAATATAAACTGTTAACAGTCATTATTTCATTTGAATATTGGAGGAAGATATTTCTCACTTTCCTAGCTACACCTCAATACTTTACCAGTTCTTTTAACATTAATTCATTAACCTTTGCACCCTTAGTTGCACACTTTTCCTAATTAAGCCATATAGACCATAGTGTATATTTGTCAAATTTATATCTATACAATTGTCTGTAGTGGGTGTTGGTGGCCGAATGGTTAGCACGTGCGCGCTGTATCATAAGGCCTGTCATTGAATCAATTAGTGTGGTTTCGATAGTTCGATTTTACGTGACAAGGAGTAGGGTCGCCTATTAAACCTCGTGGGTTTTCCCCGGGTCCTCTGGTTTTTCCCGACTGCTAAAGACCCAATACGCGCAAGCGAATTATTGAAATAAAATTGAACCATGTGTTAGTCCCGAAATGACCAAGTTAGTCCCAAAATGACCTAGTTAAACTCTTTCCCCCTCTCTCTCTCTCTTTCTCATCTGTCTGTAGAGAGAGAGAGAGAGAGAGAGAGAGAGATGGTTTCAACGTCCACTCGACTCAGACTAGGTCATTTCGCTTGCGCGTAGGGGTCTTTAGCAGTGGGAGGACCCGGAGGACCCGGAGAAAACCCACGAGGCTGGACAGGCAACCATACTCCTTGTCACGTACAGTCGAGGATTTGAAACCACGCCAGTTGACTCAATGACAGGCCTTATGATACAACGCCCGCGTGCTAACCATTCGGCCATCCAACCCACCTCATCTGTCTGTAATTGATTACTAAAATTTATAATGGTGCACATCTAGAAACCTAAAATTTATTATTGATCACGTCGAAAATTCTAGAAATTGCCAACAATTAGTTAGTCATCACATCAAAAAATAAAAAACAGAAAAGTCAAAACAATTTTTTGAATAGATAATGGCGTATGGCATACCCCCATTAGTTCATCTGGCGTGGGAGATAATTTAAATATCGTAGAATTACACATCCTGATATGGATTTGCGATTCCAGATTAAGATAATTGATTAGTTAATTGTATGAATAATGTTTTCTAATTATAATCTAAATAATGCAAATTATAATATTCTCTTTTTTGATATTTTTCAGCAAAGTTTTGACAATGATGTTGAGATAGTCCCAATCGAGGAGAAACCGGAAATCACGGTTTATTTCTAATAATAATATTGTGAAGACATGTGATTGGTTGAAGTAAAATAATCCTACGCCAGTCAAAAATAACCCAATGATTGTGATAATAATTAATTGATGCATATTCATGATAGCATGTTTACAACGTTTTGCGTAAACCCACAGTGACCAATAAAAACAGCTGTTTTCAAATGCACAGATAGTGAATAGAGTAGATGTGTTGTGTCTTGTGATTGGTTTCAACGCTCTGTGTAAAGAACGGGCTGTGATTGGTTTTCTACTAATACGTGATTTGGTTTAGGAAATAACCGTTTTGTAAATAACCTATGTGTGAAATTACCAGTGTCCCTTCTAAGTTCACAACGGCAGGGAAACTATAATGGTCGACAAAAACCAGTACGTATATCCATTCCCAAGAATAAATCAATGTTTACATATTTGAGTATAAGTGATTGATTTAAGGCTATCTAATTCTACACCGAAAAGCTTATTATATACACGTATATATTTATATAATAAAAGATTCACATGTAAGGATATATACCTTTATATATTAACAGGTTAACATGTAAGGAAATATACTTTTATATAGTAACAGGTTCACATGTATGGAGTTAGACCTTTGTATATTAACAGGTTCACGTGTATGATTATCAGGTTCACATGTAAGCAAAAAGACTGTTGTATATCAACTTGATCTCTTGACCTTACGGGCATTCACTTGTCCTACATTTTTTCTCATGTTTAATAAAAGCGGTGCAAAATTTTCAAATTAAAGGTCACATTCAAGTAAATGGATCATTGTATATTGCAGGTTCACATGTAAGTTCCCGTGAATAACGGCTCCATGTGAAAAGTCACATTTATTTGATTTTGATGATATAAATATCAAAATTCATCCAAAATTGGTAATTGGATAGACCCCATGATCTTGCTTGGTATTATACTTGGCCAAGTTAGAGTATGGGAACATTTTGCTTTTGTGTTAAGCAATGTATCTAGAAGACAATTTACCCATTTTCACATTTATGATATACCCCCACTTCGAAAGCCATTGTATGATAATAAATAGATGCTAGTTTCCTTTCGATTATTCTGTTGTCACTCCGAATACAGTAAAACTCGGAAAATAAAACGAATTAAACGAAATGATGATAATAGTGTTAAATGTATAAAGATCATTGTATTTAATTTTGTTAAGAGTAATTTGTATATTAAGTCCCACCATTGTTGTATATTTAATATCAGTTTCATATCATATACATGTATATATTGTACATAATATTAGTGAAACATTATTTTTATGATAAAATGCATACCATGTGAATAATTGTACGAAAATAATTTATTTATCAATAATAATAATATAATTTTTAATTTATGTTTGTAATTATGTTATTACAAGTTATTCGGTTGATATACTAAATCCCTTCCTTATTGTCCATAGTTGACACCTGACAATTCAGCAGGACTGTAGTTCTTATCCCTGATTTCGCTGCAGGAGAATGCAGATCTGATTATTTCAGTCCGGCGACCAAAGTAAGTTGGGGACCCAAGTTTTTCTCGATAAGTTTTTTTTTCTCGAAGCTTTTATTTTAATTAGCTAGTTACTCAAAATCCGCCATGCTAACAATAAGCCAGTAGCAAATAATGGATTCAGTCAATCCGATTCCATATAAAACCATCGAGAAAGAAAAAGTGGAAACTTTTGAGTCCCCTGCGATGTACATGCGATTCTACACAACGTGTCAGTCATAGCAGCGTCGCGACCGGTAATTAAACGAACATCGGTCTTTGGGGCGATTTTCGGGCTCCAATTTCAAACGTTTCACTCCGATTTATCTAAAAATTGGGCGAGAAAGAGCTCCATTACTCCCTGGATCTACATGCAAGAAAAACTTTCTATGTCGGCACTGACCACTCGAATAACACGCCCATGTTCACCGCAACAAAATTTATATGATATATCACTAGTGTGAAAGATATATCGCCGCGCAAAAAGGTTTTCTGTTCCAAAGGACTTTCTGGACCCCAAATTCACCCTTTAGCGTCTTTTCTGGTCAGGGACCCTCGGACAAACATATTTTGCCGGAATCCCTACACGCGTATCTCTATTGTGGCTGATTGGTATCATGTCGTTATGTCGTGGTGTCGCCCTTCACAAGGCGACAACCCGACATCACGACATCACAACAACCCGACATCACGACATTTTTAACCCGACACTACGACATTTTCACCCGACACCACGACATTAAGAATGTCGTAATGTAGCGTAAGAATGTCGTATTGTCGCGTAATAATGTCGTGATCTCGGGTTGTCGTGATGTTGGGTTGTCGACATTATTTATCAATGTTGAAGCGGCTGCGAGTACAAGTCAGCCCTCACTATCTCATCCTTCACTAAGAATAATTACCCATCACTAACTGCGAATCAAGCTGGCCCTAACTACCTAATTATGGGTCTTAATACGAAATTCCAGATATCATGCTACATATCAGTAGAAAGCACGTTCACTGTTCTTTTCAAATATATAAATAATGTTCTGGCACATTTATATTTACTTGCCTTGAAATGTGAAGGGGGGGGGGGCGGTATTTCAAATAAAAATGCGAGGCTTAATCCAAAATTCCGTATATCTATACTGAAAAGTAAAGTTAATCCTCTCTTGAAATGTATTTATTATATTTTCGGCGGAATGCATATATACTTTTTAAAATTAAAATTGATACATGTTTGGTAGCCTTCACTGGCTGAATTAAAGAGAGTGGTGGGGTGGGGCGAGTGTTTAATGTCAAAATACGTGTCTTAATACGAAATTTCAGTTATTGTGTCATACATCACCGGAAAGTAGGTTTCTGTGGCTCTTTAAATCTACTTATTATTTTCTGGCACATTCACGATTACATACTTTAGATAAGATAGAAGCATTTTTATTTTGAGCAAAGAAATGGGTTACTAAAAATAGACTACTTTCAATTCATTTTATTTATCGAGGGCTCGAATTACACCATACCGAGCACGTGATTACACACAAGTCATTGTCACCCAGCGAATTTGGTAGTGGGGACCAGCTTGATTCGCAGTTAGTGAAGGCTAAGTATTCTTAGTGAAGGATGCGATAGTGAGTGCTGACTTGATCTCGGCAAGGGACAGCACTCTATTATTCATGGCCGCTTCAACATTGATAAATAAAGTCGACAACCCGACATCACTACAACTCGACATCATGACATTTTTACGCGACAATACGACATTTTTACGCGACATTACGACATTCTTAATGTCGTGATGTCGGGTGGAAATGTAGTGTCGGGTTAAAAATGTCGTGATGTCGGGTTATAATGTCGTGATGTAGTGATGTCGGGTTGTCGACTTTACCGCTTATTTCCCAAACTCTGAGAGGAGATATATATTCGCACCGTGCTCTCGACCGAAAGCGGGTCTCAAGATGGTCACTTTAACGCAATCCCGTCGCCACAGAGCTCGCTCACCTCGTGGTCAAGAGAGTCGTGTACTAGACTGGAAAAGCTCGGGAGCGCGGTTCAGCCACGAACCTGGCGAACATCTACTGCACGTTTGAACATTCTACATTCACCAATTGATTATCTAGACAAAGTATCAACCTCAATTGTGTTGTGTTCCAAAAGGTGTGACGGATATACATTCGGGCGAACCCACTTTTAATAGTGTTACGTACTCAACTGTGGTAAGTTAAACGAACAGACAAGAACAGAATAATCGATTTATCGGTCTTAAAATATTACCCAACAAGGTTCCAAATATATACAATTTCTTGCAGTATATACAAAATAAGAGTAATAATAACATATTAATATGAATAAACCCTAAAATAATGGGTATAATGAAAACGACATGAAACACGCCTTTACAGAACAAAGGAATTATCTCTACTGGCGCGAAGTTGATACATTCCGTATCAATTCCAGGAAAAGTTTGGTAAAAGAAAGGGAGGTAATTATATAGGTCACACAACAATTTGCGTCTAAACTCACAAAATACTTAAAAATAAATCCTATCAAAAATGGAATAGTAAATTGTATATTAAAATAATATCTTTTAATAATATTATTTAATAAAATATTGTACATAGCACATAAGTAGGTCAAACAATAGATATGATACATAACAATAGTCCCCTAGTTTCTCCGAATGTAAATTTGAAATGGGTTTAACTCACATAAGAATGTAATATTGAGATGTTCTCTCCTTTAAAATACTCTTTCAACTCGAAACTCTTTCCCATTTCGGTCATAGGAGTGGTTTATCTGTACGGACACCAAAGATCTTTTGATATTAAAAGTGGTTAAACGTTCGTTTTCGCCTAGTGTGTAATAGTAAGTGGAGGAGGACAGCACTACACTCAATCAAAACCAATGAGACAAACAAACCATACAGATATTGCAACATATACCAAATCAAGCGAATGGACCCATGGGCCAGTCGTAAGCGGCCAGACAGTAATAGGGATACAGTTGAGTGGTTGTGTAGCACCATGGGTCGTTTGTCAGACGTGGAGAGCGGGCGATCCCAAACCGGTCGCCACCTCCGGCGTATAACCCATGCATCGTTTCTTACTACACATTCTGGAACAGCCCATGATCGTCTTGTATTGTCTCTGACCGCGTTTGTTTCTTATTTTCTCCTAGGAATCAACTTTAAATATTGTGTATTACAAAGTTACAAGCATAATAAAGTCATTCTCTCTAACCCGCTCTCATGCAGACGCGGCGAGGCTGCTGATGGAAATTCCTACATCTTCAGCCTACGAGAACTACATGGCTGTCTACCCTAGATCGCACATTCTATTAATTATATATTCTCAGATTCACACCCATTAATTATTCTATTGGTTAATTGTGATGTAATTAATCATGTGATTGGTCACTCTTGGCAAATATGAAATGGTAACGTTCCTATCACGTGCTTTTAGAATGGAGAATAATTAATCAAAACCATAATATTATTTTACATAGATGTTTCTTAGCACAAATTCTTGCCCTCCATATTACTACAGTTGTCTGTGAGAAATAGCGTTTATAAACTTCCGCTTCCACATCAAAGAGATGTGACAAACTAAATGTACATACATAATCACAACCACCATATATTCTGTGTAAATATGACTGTACATACACCGAAGGGTAACAATATTACGTACCTTACTCGTAACCCTATCTTGACATTCGGTATATTTTTCTCCCAATTGCCCGCGAATGATCGCAACTCATTCGTAAACTATTCGCAACTGCTTCGTTGCTACTGCCGATTCTCCATGATATTTTCTGTCGAATCACCACGGGGGTTGGGTGGCCGAATTATTAACGCGTGCGCGTTGGATCATAACGTCTGCCATTGAGTCAAGTGGCGTGGTTTCGATTCCCCGCGTGTACGTGACAATTGGGAGGGCCGCCTTCCAACCTGGAGGGTTTTCTCCGGGGCCTCCCGTTTCCTTAAAGAAATAAAATTGAATCATATATTAGTCCCGAAATGGCCTCGTTTCTGCCGAGTGATAGCCCATATACCCATAGCCGATTCATAGGTTGATATGGGATATTTCAAATCGATTTCACGAATTCTAGGTAGCCACGAATGACAAGAATGTCAAGAATGGAACAGAAAGCTGTTGCGGACGAAACTGAAGGGTTTTCGACGGGTTTACGATGTACATCTACAAATTCCGAAATCCGCCGTGGCATTCGTAGTCAATGCGGGCATTTATATAGCCCAGATACCCGTAGCCGATTTGGGATATTCCGAGTCGGTTTCACAAATATTAGGTAGTCACGAATGAGACGAATGTCAAAGAATCGAATAGGATGCTACGGGTTTACGATTTATCTACAAATTTCTTCTATAGTCTATGTGCGCTAAATTGTGTTCAATAAAATTATAGACCTGAGATATACACCTGTCGCCACGCCAAAATATACGAATAAATTGGAAAATATTCCAAGTTAGACACCAAAATAGGGAGATAGACAGCTGCAGAGGTCCAATCTAAACGTAGTTCTCTCCCTTTAGTGCATTGACAAATTATCGTAAAAAATATTATTCGAAGGAATGGGTCTATCTAAATCTAAGAAAAATGTCTAATGATTTCAAGTTTTATGCTGGCTTATAGTGTGCCAGGTTGATTTCGGCGTCGTTTCCGTGTATGTTAATAAGTCGCGCGATATCCTAGATTTGCATAATATCAAAGATATGTCAAATAAATAACAATATTTTCCAATAAGGCATTTGTCATTTGAACATTACTTTGACGTTTTACATTTAACTTTGGCCTTCGAGGTACTTTGACTTTATCATTACCGGTGTTGGGACTTTATACATTGTACTTTTTACATATAATCAA